CCTACCCACTGCTACAACCCTCAATCAAAACATCTGAACACTGGATGCTATAGATGCTTGGGCTGCGTGACTTGCAGCCACATAATCCCAATTAAGTAATTCACACATCCCCACACAGGGAAGAAATTCACTATCCGCCACCGCTTGACATGCACGAGTGACTTAGTCATTTACAAATTGATGTGCCCTTGCAGCCTTTCGTACGTAGGAAAGTCAGACCTCCCACTGCGTGAAAGGATCCGCAACCACCACTCCAGCATTCGGGTGGCCTATAGAGGCAATGGTTCAGACTTACCAGTGGCAAAACATTTCCTCGAGCATAATCACGAGGTTTCCGCCGGTGATGGCGACAGGGAAGCGACAGTCTCAAATCTGTATCAAATTATCCCGGGCAAACTGGTTAAATAGGCACTGGAACTAGTGCAATGTGGATCTGTGAAGTCTGAATGTTTTTCTGAACTCTTTTTTTTTTTTTTTTTTATTCCAAAGTAGAAAATGGGCTTGACAGTGGTTTCAAAATTTTAATGAGGCAACATGACCAACAATACAGTCAATTGAGATATTGTAACGGGATAAAAGCCACAGATTTCTCAAACAGGAATTAACTGTCCTCCCCTTAACCAAACACACCAAGCACTAAACCATCACTTAAACATAACCCCTTTAACCAGGGGTAGGCAATCTATGCTACTCTAGATGTTTTGAACTACATCTCCCCTGATGCTTTACCAGAAAAAATAAATAAATAAAAAACAGTGAAACCTGTATTGTGATTAAGTGTTTGTGTCATCTCTGTAACCCTTCTTTGGCAATATTTTGCCATAGTTGTAATACAAATTTAAAAAAAAATTAAAAACAAAAACAAAATAAATAAAAAAAAATCTAATGTCAATGTACAAGTATCCATTTACTTTTTTTACAATCAGTAATACTGAATGTGAACCAAGCATATTTCCACACACATCTGAATGTGACGTGTAACAAACCCAATAAACAGATTAGACGACATTTTAAAAAAGCTTTGGCAAATCATAATCTTCTGTTAATATTGACCGAGTAAACATTGTACATACCTGTATGAAACGCTGGATGTTACTGCCTGCCGAATGTCCTTTGAGTGCACTGATTGAAGCTAAGAAGACAGTGAAGAGGTGGGGAAGGCAGACATCTAAATATGACTGGCCAGTTCAAATTGCACGAATTTCACGTTGATCATTAACAGAGGTTGCCTTGTACTATGCATGAGGAAAACACAGTATAGCTTTTAATTTCAGCCTTATCTCAAGCACAGAGGCAGTAACTAGAGACAGTAGGCCGTTTTCTCACATACAGAAACAGAAAAGCAATTTGCATTTTTATAAAAATCGAGCTGTTACATTTAATCTTCAAGGCTGCCGCACTGGATACAACAATTAAAAGGACTATTTATGGTAAACTGCTGATTGAGAAAGCACGGCTCGCTATCCTAGTGCACAATGGGAGCAGCTCCCCTGGGTTCAACAACTACCAGACTCCCAGTGTATGTCACAGATTGAGGGATAAGAGGGGCAGAAGTGACTGGTTGTAAACTAAACAATTCAAAGCAAAGTTCTAGAAATTAAACATTCTGTTTGCTAGATCTTGCCTATATTGTAGAATGGGTTCAGTGTAAAAAGACACTTAAATAGATAACACACTTATCTAACACTAAACACTAAATAAGGACTTAACTTTTTCTAAAGTTAAGTCCTTATTTACTTCAGTTTCCATTAACACCGTATCCCTATTTTAGGGAAACAAAGTACAGATCTGGACCCTTCCTCTATGGAGTTTTTAGATTCTGCAGCAATGAACTAAAAAGTGTGACAAAGGAAGGATTTTCAACGCATTTGCAAGTGGCTGCCATTGAAACAGGACAACACTAACCATATACTTATTACTACCTCAGGGTTTTTTGTTTTTTTTACTGCCAACACAAGACTACTAATCTCCGTCTTTCCACATGCACCTATCTGAACCTAAAGCTTGCCCTGCAATAATCACCCCTCCCCCCCCCCAAACTTTTAGACCAAGAATTTCAGTTACACAACAAGATCACAGCATTTTCTACAATCTCTTCAAATTCGAAATCAACCAACTTCAAAATGATATCCTGCTCCCTTTTGTCGCACTATTATCTCACATGCCAGCTATTTTAGTACAAAATACTACAAACGCGGAGACAGACAGGTATGACTACTACGGCCTGTATCCCTAGCGGTTATTTTAACTTTTCTAGACAGTGATCACAGTGCCTAGGAGCCATTTGTACATTTTGACAGGTATCCAGCAATAGGTCAGTACACACCCATCTAGGCCTACACTGGGAATATATGGTGCCTTCAAGCATCAGAATGGGCGCAGCACTGATCACACTGACAGTTTAGCACATTGCTCAGATGCCTGATGAAGCCTCGGGTTGCTTTACTGCATTACTACTGCACACGTGACGCATCTAGCAGTAGCTTGTTAAATGCAACAA